ATGGGGTCTTTTAAATATACAATCATGTCATCTGCAAATAGAGACAATTTGACTTCCTGTCTTCCTAACTGAATACCTTTTATTTCTTTTTCTTGCCTGATTGTCCTGGCCAGAACTTTCAATACTATGTTGAATAGGAGTGGTGAGAGGGCATCCTTGTCTTATGCTGGTTTTCAAAGGAATGCCGCCAGTTTTTGTCCATTCAGTATGATATTGGCTGTGGGTTTGTCATAAATAGCTCTTTATTTTGAGATACGTTCCATTGATAACTAGTTTATTGAGAGTTTCTAGCATAAAGGGCCATTGAATTTTGTTGAAGGCCTTCTCTGCATCTATTGAGATAGTCGTGGTTTTTGTCCTTGGTTCTGTTAGTGTATATGCTTGTTTACTTTGTATGTTTGCAGGATTATTTAAACTCTGTATAATCTTTTTACATTAACGTTTTTTCAGTATACAAGCTTGCAAGGTGAAAATAAAACCTGTTTGCCTGATAGTTGACAAATGTAGCATTTATACTAGTATGCAGTGAGTTTTAATCTTTCATTCTTAATCACTTTTACATACGTAGGTTATCTTGAGTAGACCTCTTTTGACTGCATTACTGTTGAATTCTTCTGGCCAAGTAGTAAAAGGGTAAGTAAAATTTACATACACTCATCATTAGTATAAGATGTCATATAGCACTATCAGAGGAGCAGTCAAGAAGTTTTCTGCTTTAGACATAACAATTTACAGGTAATTAGTACTCTTCACTGGACAACAGAACTAATATTCAAAGTGTCCAAGGGGAGTTTATTCTTGCCCTCTGCTTCAACCTGTAGTGCTGTGTAACCCTGCATGGACTTTTAAGTCTAAGAGAAAGAAACATTTTATTATAGAATAATATTAAAAACAAACAAGGACAGAAATAACCAGGAAAGCATAATAAACCTTCATCACCCCATTGCCCAGCTTCAAGAATTACCAGCTCACTGCCAAAGCTGTTTTATTTCCTCATTCATCCTCTCCTAAGGGTATGGTGGTGAAAAATAGTAGTAATGATAATTTATCAACACCATAAGCAGAATTGCTTATTTAAAAATTACACAGGCCAGGCTTGTTGGCTCACGCCTGCAATCCCAGCACTGATGGTCCCTTGAAGCCAGGAGTTCGAGACATGCCTGGGCAACAAAGCAAGACTCATCTCCATAAAAAACTTTATAAAAAATTGGCTGGGCATGGTAGTTCATGCCTGTAATCAATCCCAGCACTTTAGGAGGCTGAGGCAGGCAGATCTCCTGAGCGAGCCCAGGAATTCAAGACCAACCTGGGTAACATACACCGTCTCCATAAAAATCAACTGGGCGTATTGGTATGCGCCCATAGTCCCATCTACTCCGGAGGCTGAGGTGCGATGAACACTTGAGCTGGGGACGCAGAGGTTGCAGGAAACCATGATACCACCGCTGCACTCCACCCTGGGCAACTAATACTCTCCAAAAACAAAACAAACAAAAAAGGGTGGTGGGGCATAAAAAAATGATACAGTGAAATCTGGTTAAAAGCACTTTATTGATTACAACATGAATTCACAATATTTTATAAAGCTACTGTACAAATAGAGGAATGAATCACTGTGTAAGAAAGAGCCAAGAACAGTTAAGTCATGATACAAGTCCATAGTAATCTAACATGTTTACCCTTCACATAATTAGACTACTACTGACATTCATGTTCAATTGACCACAAGTGTGTACAAATCATTCTAGGTAAAGAAAAACATTTCATAATGCTTTAACAGGAAAATAATTTTAATCAGCTTTAAAAACACACTTAGATGTGGATGCCTTTGGATAGGAAAATAGAAAAGCAAGTGTTCAGATGCTTCTTTGAAAAGAAAACAATAGGATAGAGCACCATTGTGTCAAAGACAAAAGGCTTGAGATATCTACTAAGTGTATCACTGAAGTTCTATTAATTAAGAAACAAGATTTTGTTGAATACATTTAACACCAGTTGGAGCATAGCATTTTTCCCCCCATAATGCTGCTTTATCATAACTGTATTTTACGAAATCAGTAACTGGATTTAGGAAAAAAGACATGAGATTTTATCAACATGCAAATATTTGCTAAATACAAGGTGTACCACCAATGTGTGATTAATAAGTTACTTTTTAAAGTGCTAGCTTATTCTACTATAAACCATTTTATTGAGTACCTATTATGTAACCAATATTTTAAAATATACACTGAATCTGAGGCAACCCAAAATAAACAGTGGAAAGAAAAGTAAATGTGAAATGTACTTCACGTTCACATTCTACTTAGTCTAATTTAAAATATAAATTCATTGTGCAACCCATAAGAAAGATGGTCTAACCTGTAGGTATTTTTTTAAATTCTAACAGGAGAAATCATTTAAAATTTTGCTTTTTCACAATGGCAAAAAAGAATTTGAACATATTTAATTAAAAAAAAATTAAGCCTGACTCAGACTCCAAAGATTCTAGAAAGAACATCTTCACTATTGAAATGATGGCAAGCCCAAATGGGGGATTGTTGAACCAGTTTTCCTAAGTTAAACCAAGAATAAGCCACAAATATTCAGTTGTGTTACAATTTAGATCTGAGACATTTATATCAAAGCATATTTCCCTGAACATGTTCACATTTAAAATGCTTAAGATCTTATTGTAAAATCTAAAATATCAAACATTGGAGGAGCTCAGTTACACAATATTGGCACAGCATTTTTAAGCAATAATAAAAGTTTCATTTTGTCCCCTTAAGTCAAGATCCATTTATCTATTAATAGGTTAAGCTTGAGATTCTGTAACATATTCTAGAAGCACCTACCTCCATTATTTCCAGGACACTAGTATCATCGTGCAATTTCTGAGGTCATCTCAGTCTAAAATGCAGGGAATTGCTGAACAGGCCCATTTGCTGTTGAGATATGAAGCCCAAATCTTTGCCTCTGAAGATGGAATTCAATGTGGTATGTGTAATCACAAGTACACATTTGAGCTAGGGAAGGACCTTGGATATTCAGTCTAAATCTCAAACAGCATAGCTGTCAAAAATGAGGCTGTCCATTAAAGTGGAGGAGACATCCTTGCTGATGGCAAGAACTGCTTTCTTAAGCAGGTTTTGGGGACAATATGCTAAACACCAGAGGGTGATGACATATTTAAAAAAGAATATGTACCTCTAAAATATTCTTGCCAGATCTCAAAAAACTACTCTTCTTGACATGCTACAGAGTCAACAAATTAACCTTCTGAGGCACATGATGTTTAAATGTTAGCACTGGGGAGGCTGAGGCTTGTGGACCACTTGAGGCCAGGAGTACAAGATCAGCCTGGCCAAGATGGCAAAATCCTGTCTCTACTAAAAATACAAAAATTTGCCAGGCATGGTGGCACATGCCTATAGTCCCAGCTACTTGGGAGGCTGAGGCACAAGAATCCCTTGAACCCAGGAGGCAGAGGTTGCAGTGGACAAGATGGCACCGCTGTACTCCAGCCTGGGCAGAGCGAGACTCTTAAAAAAAAAAAGGAAGAAAAAGAAACATTAGCTGCAGTATTCTTTTTTTGAGATGGAGTCTCATTCCTGTCGCACAGGCTGGAGTGCAGTGGCACGAACTTGACTCACTACAACCTCCACCTCCCAGGCTGAAGCAAGATTCACCTTCCTCAGCCTCCCAAGCAGCTGGGATGACAGGCATGCGCCACCACACCCAGCCAATTTTTGTATTTTTAAGTAGACACGGGGTTTTGCCATGTTGGCCAGGCTGGTCTTGAACTCCTGACCTCAGGTGATCCACCCGTGTCGGCCTCCCAGAGTGCTAAAATTAATTACAGGCGTGAGCCACTGCTCCTGGCCTGCAATGTTCTTGATGATGCAAAATTTTAAAAACTAAATCCAGCTGAATTTTTCAGCCTTGAAAAACTAAGATCCAAACTATTAGACGTCTCTGCAAATTATATACTCATTGAATTCAGGAACAATAACAGAATTAAGTAATCAATACAACTTAAACTGCAAGTAAACAAATATATTTAGCAAGTGGAGCCCCTCTTATTAAAAGCAAAAGTATAACCAGGAAGGTAACTGTGGTAGTGAGGCTACTTTGTCACCATTTGTTACTGTGTATAATTAGCCACAAGTGTTCAAGTAGTAGTTTTTAGTTGCTGAGTGAATAATTATGGGAATTGCTTTAAACTCTTCATAAACTTTTTTTTTTTTTTTTTTTTNTTAAACTTCTGGAGACAGAGTCTCACTCTGTTGCCCAGGTTGGTCTCGAACTCCTGACCTCAGGTGATCCACCTACCTCAGCTTCCCAAAGTGCTCGGATTACAGGTGTGAGCCACTGCACCCACCCAAAAAGTTAATAAAAATCTTAACCAAAATATAAATATACATTCATAACTGCCATCTATAATATTGTTTTGGTCCTATATCTTAGTTTGCCTGTATCCATTTTTTTTATTCTCCTGTCAGCTGATTTTAACAAACAAAACTGATACTGATGTCTTTACAGTTGATGCATATATTAGTACATTCACAATATAAAAAGAAATTACAGGTAAAATTTGGGAGTATTTAGGTTAAGGTTTCATATGTTCAAAAGCTAACAAAGATCTATCTGAAAAGTAACTAAGTTACAAAACAATGCACTTCTATATCAGAATAATCCAAGACTTTACCCTCAAGCAAGACTAACAATCTTCTATTATCAATTTGCTTTATTTGTAAAAAGAGGAAAAGTATATTTAACTTGGTGGTAGCAGACATTCTAGTAATAGACACATTATTATACCACAGAAGAATTAATATATTTCCCTAACTCCTTTAAGAACTGCTTTAGGAAGGCTTTAAGTGAAATCACTTAGATCTAGACATCTTTTGAAGCAAAACCACTTAGAAACCAGTATTTTGTGCTAAGGAAGGGAAGAAATACTACGAAATAGAACAAAAAGCTTAAAGGTTTCATTTTAAGAAATTTAAAGGCACAGATTTCACGTCAATTCAGATTTTATATTATGCAAACATGAAATAAACCACCATGTTACAACAAATATGTGCTAGCAATTGGTTAGATTTTTTACACTTCTCTCCAAATGTAACACTCACATTGCATTTCTTATCTAGACATATATAGCTAGCACTGGGAAGGATGTTCAGATGCAAGGACAATCCCAATGTTTAACTCCTGAAAGATGGGCAGACACTACAAACGTAGCTCCGGAATATAAAATGAATAGGAAAGTCGAGCTGTTTAGAAGAGGGTTACTCAAAGTGTCAACTGATCATAATCAGGCATTTACAATGTCAAGAACCATTTATATACTATTATTTTTTGTTAATAAATGCTAATGAAGTTTCTTAGCTATGTCTAAAATATCAGTGAAATCTTCAGATTATCTGTCCCCTCAGAGGATTGAAAAGGAGCTCCTCCCTAGATGAACAGTATGGCAGAGGATGCATGAGAAACGCGAGCTCCTTAGATGAACAGTATGACAGAAGATGCATGAGAAATGAAAGACCCCCTCAGAGGTGCCCCACCCATCAGTGCTCTTAAACATGAAGCCATCAGGACCTCTTAGATTCAGAAAGAGATCTGAATTCAAGGGGACTTTATTCAGGCATAAATACACATACAGTGGCATTTCTATTTCTGTGCCTGGTTCTTCTATTATAAAGCTCAATAATGTGACACTTCTGGTGTCTACAAAGTTAAAAATGTACTTCTTAAAAAATGCAAACATAATGGTGAGCTGCTACAATGTATACATTGTGTTCTACACAAAGAAAACAGACTGAGTACACACAACAATTCAAGGTTAAATTAACTCCTCAAATTAATACACTGGTCCTTTTGATCTCAGAAGGCACCTTTGCCTCCCCCCCTCCCCCACATTTTTTTTTGGTAGTTTACTGAAAGCTTGTTTTTGTATATAATCTAATAGAAAAATCTTCACCTGCAAATACAAGGTAGAATTTTTTCACAGCTATAGGCTGTAGCACTGATTTCTCCAGATGTATCAGTGGAGAACAAAAAATATGTATGACACTTAATTCCAGATTCTAAGAAAACTGTCCCAGGAGCCTGTTGCCACAGCCATGCCATCATCAGTTACACCTAAGCAGCTCACACGGTTGTCATGACCAGCAAGGACACCTGAAAAAAACAATTCAGTAAAAAGTTAGCAATTGCAGAGTTTTAGAATTCAGTAACTATATTCATAGAGATTTAAAAGGGTACTTAAAAACTACCAGTCCAGTTTGAAAGCTCATCAGTTAAAAACAGAAAACAACAAATTTCTCTGAGTAAGAAGACAGGTTAGGAAGAACCTGGACATATTTATAAATTGTATTATTTGGATTTTGACATGTGCGTCGATTTGTGGTTTTAATTTTTGAAAAATCATTTTAGGCCGGGCGCGGTGGCTCAAGCCTGTAATCCCAGCACTTTGGGAGGCCGAGGCGGGTGGATCAC